CTGCTGTGGTCAATGGGTGTTAACTTCAGCACAAAATGGAACATTACAAGCTCAGGGTATAGCATGCCAGCTTAAATGTTATGGACAAATACATGTAAAGTTCAAGGAAGAATGGAGAAGGATAGATGAAAAAAATGAAAATAAGGGAAGAAAAATTCATGATGAGAGATTTCCTGAAAACTTCCAAGCTGCATTTACTTCACAGCTGGTAGAAATAGGCATAGGCTTCATTGACTGTAAAATATTTTTTTTGTCCTATACTGAATTGAACATTTCCAATTGAAAGTGGGAGAGATTTTATATTATCAAGAAAGTTTTTAACGGAACAATAGCAATAGCTAATGCTCTGAAAGGTTCTGACTTTGAAGAGCTCTGCTTTGCAGAGTTTTGCAAAGATCAAAGAGCTCAGTCAAACTTTAGGTTTTGTTTCTTGTGGCAAAAAAGTGGAAATATAAAATGCCTTTTCCTCTTTGTTAATACAAACTACTTCCCTTACACACAGTCTCTATTAATGTCCCTTTCACAAAGAAAACAGAAGACGTACATTGATCTAAACTGTTTGCAACAGGCATCTTTATTTACGGAAATTGCAGATGCACAGCTTAATTGATGTGGCTATTCTTACAGGCTAAAGGCTAAATTGCAGCCAATTCCCAAGTTCTTTGTGCTTTTTTACCAAAGGCCAATAATGTGGACAGAATTTTTGTAAGAAAAAGCAGAATCAAAATCTGTCCCCAGATAACCCCCCCTATTATTTCTTCACCTTCCTTTTCCAAGCACAGTTGAGATTCTTGCTTTTAATTTTGATAACATTACAGTTCCTCAACAAAACAGTCACTATTAACATATTTTTCATGGTTCTTTAAATTATCTGGAAAACTCCTTACACAGAAACTCAGCTCACTGCAGTTTTTCTTCAGGCAAACAATTGACAAATCCCTGAGAACAAGATGTTTAGAAAAAGAGCCTGTGCATTTTGAAGTCTTCAAGTTTATTCCAGAATTATAAAATACCAAGATCTTACCAGGCTGTGATCCTGAATTTCCCTATTTTGCCCATTTGTCCTGTGTTTTCATTCCTCCTTCTTGCCTGTACTCCTCTCTTGTGTTTTTTGACATGAAGAAACATTTAAACGGAATACTAATGAGGGAAAATATTGTCTTTAAATAAAAATGTGTATGGTAATTGTATAGTTTCATATTTATCTTCTAAGTTAGGTTTTATCCTGATATTTAAGTTTGTCATAATTATGCATTATGTTGTTTGCATTATCAAGACAATGCATTATTTTTTCTGCCTTCTATCTAGCTCGAGGCACTTGGAAAAAAATGTGAATAAACAGAAATTTATAAGTTGCAGTCTAAGCCTGTCATCTGAAGTAGGCCAGCATTAAAATGGTCTAGGATTGATGAAGGAGAGCTGCATTAGATGAGAGTGGGAGGACTAGAAGTAATTTCTTTCACTGTGACTTCTACAGTAATTCAACTTTTTCAGAAAACTCCCAATAAGATTGATTTTTCTAGTTCAGTTTACTCTGGAAAATATCTTTCCCTTCTTGCACATGCAATCTGAAAATCTTAAAGGTAGATTAGATATTTTCTAAGTGATTTTAGCACCCATCACATGTCAGATGACTTATACTGGAAGATGTAGCCACAACATAGTTGATATACAGGTAGTGGAATTCTGTGCTGCACTATACCTACTGCGGCCGTATCAGAAAGGCCACAAAAAATGATAATATAGCCTCTTATTCCTTTGAGATCCGTCTCTTGAGATGACAAAGCAACTCCAGGACTGCTCTCCTCTGTATTTTCCATTTGTTCCATGAGTGGGGCTCATGGTACTCATGAAAGTACATGAAAGTACAAAAGTACTCAGTACTTCTAAGCGCTGCCCATCATGCCCCAACAGCAGTGTTTTTACTGTAGCCCTACCAGTGTGCTGACCTCCACTGATGAATTTTGCTGTAGGGATGAGGTGTCACAGAATAGGTTCTTCTCTGGTCATCAATGTGTGGCTATATTGCACAGGTGGCCCCTTTGCCATTAGGGGCTACTAAGCTTTACTGGTATGATCCAAAGGACAACAGCAGGCAAAGATTTGTTCTGTGTTCTTGGCTCCCTCCTGCTTTGCACTGCGTGCCCTGTGTGTAACCTCTTGTAACTAGAACATGGCATGATCCATGAAGATGTCAATGGACCTGAAACTCATCCTAGATCTTGGAAAGCAGAGCTCAGGGAGGTTTGTGTGTCTGTCCCTCCTGCACACCAATTTAAAGTTGAGAATAATATCTTTGAGGTGTGTAGCTCTCTGTTGTGGTAATGTTAATGGAAAAGCAGTGGTTGTTGCTCTCCTGAGTGACTTGGCACTCTTCTACACTGAGAAAATGTGGATTGGGACAGAAAGAAAACTTCAGAAAGTTGTATCCCCAGAAACAAAACTGGGGCGAATGAAGAGGTTTCTTAAGGTGAACTGTCATGGTGCAGGAAATGTTTTAGCAAAGAGTACAATGGAACAAGACTGTATCACATTAAGTCTCCTAATAGATGCCAAAGAAATGATACCATGGCAGTAAAAGATCTCCTTTGATTTTTGTTTCTTTACTGGGAAAAGTGGAGTGCCCTGCCTGTACTGCTTAAAAACATCATGCACCTGTGCAGTTGTGGTGTCAGCCCTGCTTTAGAAATGATGGTTTAAGAAGCCTCAGTGCAAGAATTGTTAGAGGAGTGAGGTATTATTTTGCTATGTGTTTATTGTATATGTACTTCAATACAAGCTTTGTCCTCAAACTTCATTTATTGACTGCTGGTATACAAGGAACAACTGTGAATTAGGAGCAAGGCTTCACAAACCATAAAACACTTGCATTTATGGTTTATTTTTAACCAGCATTCATGGTCTTCAAAGTCTACTTTTAACATGGGAGGGAAAAGGAAAAAGTAATAGTGAAAAGTGGGGACAACCTTACGGAAGCATGGGAAAGCTGTATGGATAGTAGGGAATGCTGTGGCTGAGGGATCTATAGTGGCTTTCATGTTCACTTGATGCACAGCATCCTTGCTGCAACCAGAAGGCAGGTGTGTGAGTTTCAATGGTCCTCTCTCTTCTGACATTTAATTTCAATTCAGAAATGTGAGAATTTAAGAGTTGTACTCATTAAGCTGAAAAATGAAAATGCAAGGATATCCAAAATATCATTGGCTTCTTCTTAATTACACTAGCCGTTTCAATTAAGTGTGAAGATTATCTGTAGGTATTGGCACCTGAAACTTAAAAGGACAAACATCCTTTTCTGATAAATTAATATAATTGCTCTTTTCATTTTATTAAAAAAAACTTTTTTATATTAAGTATTTCAAAGACATTGAAAAAACTGTTGTAAAATAGAAATACTCTATTAAAAGTAATTCAAAATTTATTCAGCAGAGAAACTCAAATCTTCAGATGTTGAAGTTAGTGTTCATCTTCAATAATCCTTACACTGAAATAATATCTCCCAATCTGATCAGTAAATTCTTATTTCACACTATTACATGGCATCTTGGAAATAAAAGAAAACTTGTTTCCAGCTTTGTAGAGCTAACAGATTTTGTCTGTCAGTTCTGGAAATCTCAAAAGGCAAAGGATTTCAGTGTTTGTACACCACGGGTATAACTGAATGGAGTCAATTATTATTTCACATATGGTACAATTCCACATCACTGATGCAGGAAAAAAAATTCAAATTTGTATAGCAATGCAGAGTTCCTGGTGTTTTGTATAGGTAAGAAAAAATTCTGAATAAGGCAGTAAGAGGATCCTTAGTAGACAAACTGATTAAACCTCCAGTTTCTGTACATAAGTGAAAATTGTTTGTTCTTGGAATGGGAATAATTGTTATTTGTATTCCCTTAAACCTACTTGCTGTGGAAACATTAAGGTGTTTTTACATAAGTACAAAACAAACTACCTACAGATAATTGAATTGGTAACAAATTACTTTTACAAATCCCAGGTATTACCATCATAGGATTTTGCATAGGAGAAAACTACCTCAAAAATAATATCAGCTTCTCAAATTGCTGAGTCTAGCGGGAGAGGAAAAGGGTGAACATCTTGAGCAGTTGACTGTGGGTGTTTGCTGTGTTCACCTATCCCCCCCTAGTTACTGGTAGCTGTGACAGAACACACTGCAGATAAAAGGGGAATTTAAAAAAAAATAACGTTTTCCTTCATCTAAAAATGTGAGATTCATATATATTTTTAAACAGAAAGAGCTCTTGCAAATAAATACTCCAAACCAGTGTGTTTTGGGGCAGCTATTTGAATAAAAACTGCTGCTTTTCATGGTTTGCATTACTAGGCTCTTGTCACACAGTCGATAGTTTGCAGCTCATCCTGGGAGGCTTAATTGCTGCTCATGTTCTGTTTACATGGCAGTTGGATTTTAAAGGAAAGCAACTATAGGAATACAAAACAATGTTTGCTTTCTTCTTCAATACGTGTGATTTTTTTTCCTACGTGTCCAAGTTTCACTTGCAGCAAGTTGTACACATACATATGGTTCTCACTAGCATCTGCCTGCCTACAGAACTGTGAAAAGTAATTGTGTTTTGATGGGATTTTTTGACTTTATGTTCCCCAGAATGAAAGAAAAACTTAATTAAGGTTTGTAGATAAGATCTCTAAGGAAAGAACATTGTAAGAATTTACTTTGGCTCCTTTTGTTCTGAGATCTAGAAGTCTATTTCCATTTCTGGACAGGACTGGCAGATGAACTGCAATTAAAGGCACAATAGCAAAAGAGATTAAACACAGGAATGACAACTGACAGTGTGGGCTTCTTTAAGTGCTTTTTGTTGCATAGAAAGTGCAGCTCCAAATCCTGCTCAGTTCACTGAAGCACCAGGTTTTAATGAACTGCTTTACTCTGTTAACCTTGGGGTCTAGTTATCCTGAGCGATGCACAAGCATTCCTCTGCCAAATGAAAACTCTTGCTTTTCCTTCTTCCCCGCAGGAGGAGAGGTTCCATACACAACCCTGGCAACCCGACTGATGATGGGAGCCTGGTGGCTTTTTGCTTTGATTGTCATCTCCTCCTACACGGCCAACCTAGCAGCTTTCCTCACCATCACACGCATTGAGAACTCCATCCAGTAAGTTGATAAAGAATGATTCAAGGGAAAGGAGGGCGAACATAAATATACATGTAGAGGGGTATAAATGTTCTACTTAAATGTGAGAACAGGAATAAATTTTTATCCTCCTGAGAAGTAGTTGGAAAGTTAGAAAAATAACAATATGCCATGGACTGTTGGTCTCCCTGGAGACACTTTGTTTTTAGGATTGGAATGGTTGGCCTCTAGCAGATGCTTTTCCCTGTGGCAGACATACATATGTATGTTTGCACACATACATATTTTGAAAGAAGCAATTGAGTTTGAGCTGACCACACAGTATCAGTGTTTGAAATAGGAAAGTATAAATTGCCACTCTGTTCTCCAGCTCTGCTTTCCATTCAGATGTATTCCACAATATTCGTGTTCTAACACTTTGGTCAGGAAGGAACCCAATGCTTCCTCAATGTATAGGGAGCTCAAAGCTGACTTCACCTATTCTTGCCAAGGCAGAGATGTGTTAACAGCAACAAACAGTAACAAACTCACTCCTTGTCATCTTTGCTCCTTCTGCTTCCGGGAACTCTCTTGCTACATAAGCAATCATGTCGTTCTCTTTACTCCATCTATTCGTTCCCTTGCTTTATGCCTCCCAAAAGTGAATGTCCTGCTCTTCTCCTGTCCCTTTTATGGTGAACTCTTTCTGTCACACCTTCCAGTCTTTTTCTGAAGATCATGTCATCTTTCCATACCTTTATAGGAACCTTTCTAGGTCTCCTACCCTCTCTCTCTGCCCTTTTGTACTCCAGGATCCTCTCCTTCAGCAAGTTTCATGCTGAGTTATCCTTGCTCCCATTGCTACAGTAACGTCCTTCACCTTCAAATGTTCACTCCTGGGTCAAAGCAGAGACTAGAAAATACAGTGGAGCATTAGCTAACCAAGCACTGTGAGGGGCAGCTGACCATTTTTTCATAGCAGGTTAATCTTGAGCCTACAAGTCTGTGAAAGTATGTTAGAGTGACAAAATTACCCATCCTTATATATCCTTCTTTGCAAAAATCACAGTGACTTTAAAGAAGAGAGACACATTTCACTGTATTTCTTCCTTCAGAAAGGTAAGAACTTGACCTTCAAGTCAGGCTCAACGCTGACCTTAGGGAAAATTCTGTTTTCCCAGTACAGTCATTGATTCAAGTCCCTGACTTATGTGTATCATGACCTGAGGTCTTTCTGCCTCTGGTCCAGCTGCTTTCAAAATCTCTCTGAAATTCCCCTTGAGACAGAGAGACACTATCACAGACTGAGCAGGGGGAGCCTTGGCCTCCTGTGAATTCACAGGTCAGGATCAAGCATCACTGCATGCCAGCAGTCACTGTGCTCATACAAATGTACTTCTCCTCCAGGTGACGATTTTCTGTGAGTGAAAACCAGTCCAGGCTTTCACATGGGCTGCTAAACATCTGCAATAGCAGACAATTTTCATTTACAATTGAAGTCCAAGTTGGACCAAAGAGCAGAAGCAGTACTTAGATTTGAGTGCACAGTTATGTCCTGACTCTTGGGTGGTGAAGGTGGAGAGAGAAATTGGTGTTCCGTGGACCAAATTGCCCAGGCTTTACCAGTCCTTACATTCCAAACTGGAAATTTTCTGTGGTTGTTATCCTTCCTTTCTGAGGTAAACCTTACCACCTTCATCTATTAGAAAGCTCCATACTCTAAGACAGGGATATATAAAACAGACTAAAGTCAGGAGAAAATGAGAAGATTACTCCCCTGATACAGTTGTGTTACCATTTAAATCAAGTTACCATTTTCTTTTGTGTTCTGAATAACAGATTTTCAGATGATGAAATGCTGCTGGGGTATTTTAACACAATCCAATCATTTGACTTTGGAGTCTCAATTATAATGCCTTCAAAATTTGTATGGGAATAAAATAATATTCTGTGTCAATGTTTGTCAACATTGACCTTGATATTTTGAGGGAAGTTGATTTATTTATTAAGTATTAAAAGATTTAAATTTGACTAAGGACTGCAAAGAAACAACATGGGAATTTATATATGCAAAATAAATTATAATGATATATTCACTCATTCAGTTTGTCATTACAAGAATGGAATATGCTTCTGCATTCTGCTTTGAAATCATGTCCCTTCTAATTTTAAAGTATTCCAGAAAAATATTCAAATTACTGTGACAAATGCCTGTGTTTTCTTATGATGTGTAAAAAAGAATAACATATACCCAAACTATAATTTAATACATCTTCAGCTTTTTCTTGCAGTTTATTATGATGTCACTAGAAAAGCCTCAGTGGAATTTTGAGGTTATTATGTACAGTTGGGACTACATTGGTCTTTGTGCTGTATTATTTATGGGAAGAGTCACTGAAAATGTTTTATTCAGTAGAAAATGTTGCAGCTGGAAAGCTCCTGGAATGAAAGAACAGACATTTTTCAACAGTACATCCAGCTCAAAAATAGAGTAATTAGATGTGTTTAGTATTCATTAGGGAATGAAGTTATCCTAACTATGGTGTGAGTATAAAACTTTAGTTTACAAAACTGCCAAAATTGGAACTTCAACCAGCACATACGAGAGAGGCTGTTTGTTTATCATGCTGAATTACTGCAAAGTGGAAAACATGAATAAGCAATAAAGAAAAAAGCTGATGCTCCTTTTTTCCTTTTTTCCTTTTTTCTTTTTTATGCCTCTTAACAGTTCAAATTGTACTTTGGGGAGCCTTCAAGGCCAGAATGGAAATGAGTATAAGCATTTAAAAAAATAATCCAGATTCTGGTGGTAGTGCTTGTCATCTTTAGACAAGCCAGGAAAAAAAGGAAAGAAATTAAAGCCAGTGGGTTTGCACATATATAAAAAGTAGTTAATAGTTTTTCATTTCACATTTCCAGCTAGAATCAGATATTACAGTGTGTTGTTGTAGGTATGGTCCTTGTGATATCTTTTACAAAAGGTAGTAGGATTCAAGCAGCCCACAGCACATTTATTTCATTTCCATGAAACGTTTGGTAGTTACTGCATTTCACCTTTTGGATACGTTTGAATATTTCAGCTTTTTCTGTTCAGAACTCTTGCAGCTTCCCCTGTTCAGTTGGTGGGAAGGCTGGGCCATTCTTCCTAATCGGTGCCTCATGGTATCCAGAGCTCTATTTTGAGTGGCAAAGCAAGCAGGATTTTATTAGCCCATCCAGTAAGGAGGACCCTTAAAGAAATAAGTGTTCCCTTTCTCCATAGAGTTTCAAAGTAGATCTTTGCTGTATGACCTCACCTGATGGCATTTGTGCTCTGCCTCAGTGTTCAATTTGAATCAAATTTTTGCAATTTTAAAATTAATTTAGAGAAACCAGAGTAAAATGAATGGGTGTTAAATCTGCCTTTCCAGAGAAACGGCTACTCTTAATACCTCTGGGAGCTCAACTTTTCACCTTCTACCAACACACAATATCATGAGCAGAGGACCTCAAGTTCTAAAGTAGTTCCTGGATGCATCTTTTGTTCACACTTGACCCACATTGCAGATGACATTTAAATCAAGAGAGTCAGCATTTCAAATGCCAAAATACTGTGGCAGCAAAGCATGATTTCTATGCGTTTTAAATCTTTAGGTTGCTTTCTCAAATGCAACATAAATTATTAGCAATTAGGAGTGGCTTTTCTTGGTAAATGCCATATAAATTTGGAGGTCCGGAGCTATTTCTGGGAGGTGCTCACGTTCCGAATTTCATCACTGAGCCAGTGTTGACATTATTATGTTTTATGATTCCTTTAGGACTAAATTAGAGTCAACTGGCAGAGATTGATTTTATTCAAATTACTGCATTCTTTTTCTGGATTAGGAGAGGGTGTCACCACCTTCTCATGGGCACTGACATTTTGCAGGGAGTTGGGTGAACAGAGAAGTCAAATGATTTGCCATTTGAAAGGTTGGTGTTAGGTGGTTTGAAGTTTAATCCACTTCTAAAATGTGGAAGCATAAGAGTTTAGCTTGTACATGTTGTGGGGGGTAAGCGTGCCTCTTTTGTCTTCTGTAAAATCAGAAGTTCACATTATGTTCTCCATCTCATAACAAGTGTGTCTTGTTTGATAGGTGAGACCTCGGCCTCCAAAAATGGAGGCATAGTGGGAAATCAGGTCTGTCTTTCTTAGCCATTCTTCTCACAACATTTTGCTAAACCATGATTCACTTGAAGCTGAGAAGTCCTTAAGGCTTTGTACAGCTCAGTGCAACTGACTGCAGGATTTCTGCAAGGGGGTTGCACAGAACATGGTAATTAGATATTGCCCAATGCATTTTCATTAATCTTCCCTTTAACATGGTTCACCCTGCAAGCAATATTACAGGTTTCTGCTACAGCTCACCCTGACAACAGCTAAACTCCTTGGCTTAATGTGCCCTGTTCCCTAACCCTAAATCTGCTTGTAAATTAATCCTTACTGTCCTAGGAAAAAACCCCAACCAACCAGACAAATGAATAAAATAGCACAAAAGCGCTGGAAAGCGTTATCTGAATTAGTCATAAATAAGAACTTCAGTGTAGGCCATAACATTGGTTGTTTATTGCTGAAAATTTAGTAACTGATTCTTACAGACAGCTCTATGCAGCACCCAAGTCTAGCACAGCTAGCCTGAATTGGTCAGTAACCCAGGTTTACAAAAATAAGTTGATGCCCAACTCTCTGATGGCAGTGGTGTTTTATCACATAAAGAAATTCCTTCTTTATGAAGCTGACTTCTTGCTTTTTAACATTTTTCTGTGAAATTTTTTAACACTTTTGTCTGACCTGTGTGAACTTGTTATAATTCTAAGTGTAGGATTTGAATTTATAGAAAAGGGTATGCTTTGGAGAAAGAAACATCCTAATCCTACTATGTTTTTCTTCTACCTGGAGGCAGAGACAATTTTTTAAATTGCAAAGTAACTGATTTGTACAAAGCCATAAAATGAAAGTGACCTGACAACTACTGGCTGATTAAGGTGTAGAATACTAAACAAAATCAACAAATGCTGGGAAATACATCTGTTAATAATTCTTCCTCAAATGACTACATTCCTCCTCAGAATAGCCCTATTAGCCTAGTTAATTTAGGATAATATTGATGCTGGGATAATATTGGTATTATCCCAGTAATTGCAATGAGAAAAACACTTACCATAAAGGCCACACATAATATTTTTCCCCACAATGCTGCATGAGTGATAGACAAAAATAAGCAGAATGACCAGACTGCGTGGTCACTTCCCTAGAAGTAGAATTTGTCTATATACAAGCTCAGTTAAAGTATCTTTCTTTTCTTAACAATTTTTTCCACTATATGTGCTTTTTTCATATTTTTAAACAGATTTTATCGTTCATTACCTTATTGCTTCAAAACTAGAAATTAAAAGAGAAAAAGGTTTTAAAATGTGAAATTATCATTTGCTTACTCATGCTAATGAGTGCTTTGCTTTGTAGATAGTTCATCTGAGAACTATCGAAAAATGACATTTCAATGTGGGTAATGGAATCAGGATTTGGGCATCAAAGGATCCCCTTGTAGTAATTAATTAGCTTGACAAATGCTTTTTCCTTATTTTGAGATCTGGTGTGGCAGCTGTGTGATGAAATTGGGGGAGAGATTGAGGCTGAGGATTTACATGTGCATTAAAGACATTTGTCTGAGAAGAGAATGAATTGTTTAATCCAGGGGTAGAGGTACACCAAGAAACGTGTAACCTACAAACCAGGCTGGAGACAAAGCAGTTTTAGGAGTTCTTTCTTCTGTAAAGGAACCTCAGTGGTTTAATAATGCTAGTACTTCTCTCAAATTTTGTAATTTCTCTTTGTTTTGCGGTATTTTGTTTTGTTGTAGCTTCTAGGTTGAGTGTCTCAGCAATAGACTGCAGAGTTGTGAGTTATCAAACAACTTCCAAAGGAGGTCATATGTAGGGATATTATGATCCCATTTTACATGTTTGTGTGAGGGGAGGGAGTCACTGACACGTGATAGCTCTTTGCTGTATTTGCAGCTTGTCTATGCAGCAGAATATAGACATGTACACCTTCAATGCTCCTAAACTTCTTTCTTGCTCCTCAGCATATGGTCAGGTGAACCAGAACTTTGGGTTTACTGCCAACAGCATTCAGCACATCCATAGAGTTTACACTTACATTTGTCTTGCTTTTGTCCTCTTGTCATCATTTTCTCAGCATTGAACCTTGCCTGCAACTGTGAAAAGATGCAAGTAGGGCAGCTGGGAGGCATCCCACGTTTTAGGATAGCACACCTAACAGTGAGGCACTGCAGACTCTAGTTAATGCCAGACATGGCAACTACAACATGCCTTCCTGAAGGCATTGACATAATTCTTCTCCTTGTTATTTCCCTGCTGCTGTGGCTGGGGTGTGAGAGCACACTTGCTTCTCAGCCTCTTTGCTTCCCATACCTGACTGTAGTACTGCAGTGCACTTTAATAGTTCATGCCTTGTGCTGGTTTGCCCTTCTGAAAATATCAAAGTTATACACAGGAGCTCTTTTTCTTTTGTGCTGTTTTTAACTGATTTGTGGCAGCAACTACAACTGTCAATTATATCTTGCTTAGCAATCATAAATTTAAAAAAATGCTTTGTTGCTTGTTTTATTAGAAATTCTATGGCTATACAGAGTCTTGTAAAGTAATGATTGCAATTTTACTAAGTGTTGTCACTAGAAATTGGAGACTGGAAAAATACTTTTTGTACACTTTTCTAGTATGACAAATGACAATTACAGGACATTGCAGCATGCATCTTGTGACAGCTCATTGCACTGCTGAGCGCTGCCAGTTGATTACAGGAATGTACTGGCGGCAGCAGCAGTAACAGAGTGGATGAATACAGTATGCTGTATTTATCTAGTGCCTTTCATCAGTGATGCTTTTGACAGATAGACCGTCAGCACTTTGCACAACACTTTGCTTAATGGTAAAATATGGAGAAGCTCTCAACAAGGCCCGCTGCTGCCTAGCAGGGTGCCTTTCTGCAGAGCTGTGCTCAGCCTGGTTGTTGCAGGGTTTTATTCATCCCCAGCTACAGAGCTTTTTATTTGTCCTTCATGAATTTCACAGCACATTCCTCCAGCCTTTCTAGGCCCATCTGAACTTCAGCGTGTCCTTGAGCAGGTGGCTGGTCCCTCTATGTCATGTCATCTGCAAACTTGACAGGAGGGTGCTTGCTTACCTCCTCCAAGTCATTAGTAAAGACATGTCCCGGGTTAGACCTCTGGGGTACCTGTTAGCAGTCTGCAGGTGGGATATGCTGTGAGTCAATCGGGAATTTATCAAACCTGCTTTCCCACACAGCTGTCTAATGACCTTCCTTGGATACAAGAATATTGTGGGAGGCAGATAGGCAGGCTTCCTTGCTAAAGTTAAGGTTTACCATTCCAGTATTTCTAGTCTTGTCCACAAATGAAGCAATTGTAGTGTAGGAGGCAACCAAATTGGTCAGGCATGACTTAATTTTGGTGAGTCAATGCTGAGTGCTGCCCGTCGGCTGCTTCTCCTTCATGTGCTGAGAGGACTCACTCCATGAGGTTCTACTGCTGGTACTACAACCAGCAGTAATTCCATGAACATTTTTTTTCACTTTCTTAATACAATCTAGATATTTTCTTTCTCCTGTAGCAAGGGATCTCCCTTAGCCTCCTTCACCTTGCAAAAAGTAAAGCAGGTGGCCTTGCAAGGACATGGGCCAGCTTTCCCAGCACAGTCTGACTTCTATGGATCTAATGATCCAAATCAATTCCTGCTTTGTCTGGTTGGGATTTACCTGACCACCTCCTGCTCATTGTTCATTGTCTTCTTGAACCCTGTCTGTAGTCACAAAGGGCTGGAAGACCTCGGTGAGGAAGAGTGAGGCAATGCAAGCATTGAGCACCTCAGCTTCAGCTCTGACTGCTGTCCCCATCCACAGGGTCACACTCTTCTTGTTCAGCCTTTCAGTTCTGCAAAAGCTGTTCTTATTACCCTTGAAATCCCTCGAGAGCATCCACTCTGACTGAATATTTCTAATGCCACCCAGAGTTGCTAGGAAATGTTTCTAAACTTCTCCTTTGAAGATTATCCATGCTTCCACCATCTGTGTATTGTTTGGTGAGAGGAAGTTCTTGAAATTCTTAGTGTTTTTTTAGTAATTTCAAAGTCTAATAGATGATTGACTTGCTTTCCCTGGAGAAATCTACCTGGTGGCTATGTCTGGACTTCAGGACTGGCCTTTAAAATTGTATTAATCCTTATTTCAGTATGTTTATTAAACTTAAGCGCATGACCTAAGTAGCTTACTTTTGTAATTCCCCTGACTGCCACTTTTTAAAATATTTACTGCTTTCCTTTTGTTCACTGGCTGTAAGGAGGTTTCACATTTTTTCTTACAGCTCAGCCATTTTATATTTAATATTTCAGCACTCATACATGTTTATCTGGACTTGATAATTTATTTATTTTTTTACTATTCAGTTGCAAACTGACCACAGTACTTATTGTCCTAATGCCTTCGTCTACCAGGGTCTCATATTTTTCCTCATAGAACAGGGTACTTCTTATTGGTATTGTTGTATTGGTAGAAGACCAATACACTTGGTTTCAGGAAATGTTATGTGTAGCATCTCACCTCTGATGATTCCATATATGTACAGGTTCTTTGCAGGTTCCCTGTTTAAAAGGAATGCAGTCTTGTTGGAGAAAGTGAGATGATTTGAGGGTTTTTAATACCATTAGTTATTTACTCCTTACAATTACATATATGCCTTCCTTATAATTACTATATGTTATCTGACTAGAATTTAGCTCTTGGTCAATGTTTTTCTGAGCCCATTATGTCTAAATTTCAAAGGATTTATTTTTTACTTAGCCCTTGCCATTGATCTCTCTTGATTTCTTCTTTTCCTACCTTCTGTTTTGTTTGTGGCATCCATATGCTGAGATGTCATTACTGTTTTCTTCAGTGCCATCCTCACAACACCTAAGAATTTAATTTTTTCCAAGCCCTGCGCCACAGGGTCATTTGCACTAGCCTTCATATTTACATTTTTTTGGAAACACAGCTTAGAATTTGATGAGTTTCCTACGTTGCTGTTTGCATTTTCTGTGTCTGCAATAAACTTTTACAATTTTCTATTGCTTTCTTTAAGACAGCATTGAGCTCCTTGACTGTCCTTACGTGTCATCCACTAGATTTGTGCAGTTTACACACAGTTAATTTGTGCTGGGAAAGCTATAACAGGTTTTAAGCAGTAGACATATTGCAGTAGTTACTTTGAAATTTTAATGAGTGCCATTAAAGAATCAAAGGTACAGGAGAACAATCCTACAGGAAAGGAAAATAAAGGCCAAGAGGTAAGGAAACTTTAAATGTTTCTAATATACAGTTTTTAAGTTCAAAGCAAGTTTGGTTGACCAGACCCCATCTGGGATGCTTTAGAAACTTCTAAAATCGTTTATTTCTTTTGGTTTATAGAAAAGGGTAAGAGTAGATAACATGTAAAGCAGAACAGATTTATTAGACTAAATAACATGAACTGTGATAACATGAAAATATGATGAAAAAGCAATTCATGAAAGTACAACAAAAATGTTCTTATTGCTGAAAATAATACAGGATGTGACCTATGAGATGGATGCACAGCTCAGTGCAGGAAAATGTGGATTAAAGTCTCCTGCATCTCTTTTCTCTTCCCTGACAACTCAGGTCTCTGCAGGATCTCTCGAGGCAGACGGATATTCCTTACGGCACTGTCCTGGACTCGGCCGTGTACGAGCACGTGCGGGTGAAAGGGATGAACCCCTTCGAGAGGGACAGCATGTATTCCCAGATGTGGCGGATGATCAACAGGAGCAACGGCTCCGAGAACAACGTCCTGGAGTCCACTGCAGGCATTCAGAAGGTACTGGCATCCTTCCTTTATGCTTCCCACTGGAGATGCTCTGTAAACGGTAAATGGTATTTACCGGTGTTTTTATAGGAGATGGCTGTGTTTGTAAGGGTGCAGAATGGGAACAGGAGCACTGGACTCAGAACCCCAGAACACAAAGCACTGAATATCTTTTGTTGTAGTCTCCTGACATTGAAAATCCTGGCTTTCTCTTGTAGCTCTGGGTCATGTTTGTTTTGAGAGAGGAGGCAGGAATGACTGATTTGGCTTTAAAAAGAGTCTCACAAACACATTCTGTAGTAGGTTTAGCAGTGGAAAAACACTTTGAAAGCTCTTTGTAGGCACATTTGTGAATGCAGTAGTTCCCTCCCAAATTCTGGCTGATAGCTGCAGCTTTTATAGAAACACCAGTCCATGAAAGGATTCATTATAAGAGTCAATATAGGTTAATGAGTGACTGTGAACAAGCTTCCCCCTTACCATTGTATCTTTATATTCAGACTTCTAAATCAAATCAAAGAAAATCGTATTTTGATGACTTTATTTTAAACTTCAATATGTGATGATTTCTTACAGAAAATATCCATGAATTGTGTGTTTACATTGTTACAATCTCAATTTAGAGACTTCTAAAAATCCAGATGAACTCTGCTTTATTGTCTCCACCAAAATCTATTGGCCAGGAAAACATGACATTTCTGATGCTCTCACTCTAGTAACAAGAGAAAAGAGTATATTAAGAAGAATGATGAAATCACTGGTGAGCTCTTGATAATCAAAAGACTGAAAAATAACAATTATTTGGAGTTTTAAAAATCCCCAGTCCAACCTCTGTATAACCAATTTCTCACCATATTTTCTCCTCTGAAGGACTAAACAGCATGAAAAAGAGGCAGGAGAGGTCCTAGGGAACTGCACTTTTGAAACCCTTTTAGATAAACTCATAAGCTGAAAGAGCAAGAAAAAAAGGTCTGAAGATTTATTGGCTAGAGGAAATTGCTTTTTTTGAGAGAACATATTTTACCTCAGCTTGTAAGTGGCTGATAAAGCTGGGATTTGCCTTTTGTATATATTAAAAAAAAAAACAAAACCAAGAACCTTCCCTCTTTCTGGTTTTCCTTCCCAAGTTATAAAATGAGTTTCAGAAGGATCAAAAACCAGAGTACATCAAACATAACTGTGCTTACATAACAGTTTTTAGCTTGAAAAACCAAACAAAAGGTATATCCTGCTGGCAGGTAATTCCAGATTACAGTCACTGAGTTTTCATTCCTGGAAACTTGGCAGTTGCTGTCCTAAAACCCATAAAACCAGAAACATCCAAGTTCTTAATTACCCATGCTTTTGCTTCCCAGGAATAGGCAAATGATGATGTTAAAAAACTAAGTTATGTCAAGCGTGTGCCTACCTTTTTCTTCCTTGTGAATTTCTTCAATTTACAGGAAGAAATGAAACAGAAAAAGATTATTTGCCAGCTGCTGTTCACCAGAAGCTTTTGGGAAGTTGTAGCTGGCCTGCTCAGGAAGAAAGCTGCATGAAGAAAGTGATGTTAAAAGCTAATCTTAGGCAAGGAAAACAAATATTTTAAAAGGTATCTGATAAAAGGCAGAGATTATAATCTCTGTAACACATTTCAAAAAAAGAAAACATTTCAGAAAGAATTCATGGGTCCCCTTGGACTACTTATATGCTTCATAATGCTTTTCAGGGTCTTTAATGAATTTAACTGGCCACATCAGAGCTATTAACCTCATTATTACCCTGGGCAAGATACACCAACAGGTCTTCCTCTGTGCCTCATTTGGTTTCTCCCATTCATCAGCACTAAAGCGTGCTTGAAGAGCAGTTTGTCCAGGCTGTGCGAGGGCATCACCTCAGCAAACCTTCCTGGAATGCCAAGTGAGACAGCAGAGACTTAATGGGTGCTCCAAACAGCTACAGGGACTTCCACTCAGCTGAGAAATGATCGTGAAGGGATTGGGATAGGAGGGAGAGGTATGCAGGGTAGGCAGGGATGCAGTGGATATTTCCATCTTTAACAGCACCCCTTGCTGCACCACCTCAGAGGTTAAATGAGGTTTGCAAGGAGCCTTCAGAGAAGATGCTTCCCAAAATATTTTTGTAAAATCCTAAAAGTTCTTCAGTTTTGTCTTGCTTTTATTCTGACAACTCCAGTGGAGCTGGCACTATTTTATTGTGTGGAAAGTAGCAGTCTAATGCTAATGTATATATAAACAGGGGGAAGAGGAGAGGGGCCAACCACTGATTCACTCAGCACCTCACCCCTCTCACTCAGCAGGACTGCCTGCTTGCTGTACCAGTGTCTTTGTGTGCAGTGGCATCCGTGTGAGTGCAAATACAATACAGCCAAATGACAGTGATTGCACAGTCCCACTTTAAATCAGGCATTCTGCTGCTTTGACCTGCTCTTCCTGGCAGGAGGGCAGGGCAGGCAAGAGAAATAAGATGGGAAGATCATGCCATTGTAAGTTTTCAGGTTCTGATATTTATTGGTCCTGTTCCTCTCATAAATCAGGGGCATACATATCACCTGTGTGCTCCTGTTCCATCCATAGCAAACAGCTATAAATACCACAGGTCCAGCTAGAGAGCAGCTAGATAGATTTACCCTGAAGAGAGAGCATTTTTAAACAGGTCTCAAACAGTCAAAAGCCTGAAAAGTACAGGCACTTTAGATATTTTCTTCCACTTATTGTCTCTTCCTTTCTCAAAAGGCAGCAAAAAGCTGTTGATGGTCTGAATTTAAGGTAGGGAAGCACTCAGTTGTTTGTCTTCCTGCACCTTCAAATCAAAATGGATGGGGAGGTAGCTGTATTTTTATATAAGCTGGGATTATTCTGGAGAATATTCACTTTTATCTTCTCTTTTTCTATATTATTCCGGAGTGTTTCATGTGTCTCAAATTGATTTTCCTTTTTTTGCATAGGTTATGAAATATGCATCTCATTCTGTCCTAGGAATCTCTATTTTTGCGGAAGTTATTTATTCGGAGAGGATTTACGGAGGCCCAAGTCATGCCTGCTTAAACATTCATTGAGGACTCCAAGAAAAATCATTTAAGCTTAAAGATATCACATTACATACCTCTTTATGTCTTCTTAAAAAGCACATTACCCTGCTTAATCCTTTACAAGCACCACAGGCTTTCCTATCCTTGGAACTATTCCCATTTAAAATATAATGAAACGCTTCTATTGTGCCCCTGTCTGCTCTTTCTTCCCTGGAGTATAATAGTGCCTAATGCCCTATCCTACCCACCTTGTTCCTCTGAACATGATACCATAGCCTACAGCATCTTCATTTTTCTCAGTAGCACAGAGTGGAAAATTCCTTTCCCAGGCAGAATCTGAGTGCTTTTGAAACCTCTTCTGTCTATTTAACTCTATCTGCAACATATTTAGCTGCTAGGAAACTTGTGAATTATTGTCAGGTGAAATAATGCTTCTGGATGGTGCATTAAGAGAAATTCCTTGCAGGCTCGTAGTACTTCCTTTTCAGCTTGCTCACAGTATCAAAAGGAATTTGGTCTTGAGATTTGGATTTCCTTGTGATCCTAATTGCAATGCCAGTGGAAGCATGCAAGCTCGATTTTTTTTCCATGGACACTGTGGATGGCACTTTTACCCTCCTGAAAATACTGTAATAGTAAAAATATTAATTAATAGACCATAACAAAACTCTGCTGAGATTATCTGTATTGGGAAGAAGGGGTAATAACAGTTTGCAATTCTGTGCTAGAACAAATTGTTAATAAATGACCGTGGATATGCTTAATTCGTTTACAGAAGTAGCAACATCATGAAGACTTAACTTGATGGGACAAAACCCCTCCTGAATTAATAAATTATCCTGATATACTCACAAATTTGCCATTGGAATTGCCATTCTTGTAGCAGATATACTGACTGCTTCACAAAAAATCTAGTTAATGTATAGTCCACACATCTTTGTTGTGAACATGTCTGGCCATGGAGCAGGCCAATAAAAGCACACTGAAAGCAAAAGAGAACCAAGACAGACTTTTGGGATACTGGATGTGCACCAAGATTCAGCAGTTTGGCAGTGGCTAAGAAAGGGACAGGAAGCAGAAGGGGTGAGAGCATATGAAAATGCAGTGACAGTTCTCCAGTGTATCTCAGTTCATGACCAGGGGATCGGCTGCACTATGCAGCTGTGGGTTAGAAGGCTGATTATCAACCCAGACACCAGTTCCCTGATTCCCCTCTGCCTCTAGAACCGATGCTTCTTGGTCAGATGAGAGGTTCTGTGTCTGCTCTATGAGTAATAAGGTTGACAAGTACCCTTAAGACCTTGATGTGTTCAGTCCTGCAGCTGAAGGTGCAGTTTGACTATTTTGTGATTATTGCCTCCTGCACAGTCCATGATTTGGAGCTGGCAGGTGCCTTGCAGTACCAAAGGCACTGACTGCCCTTACTTTGCATTATCGTGGATGGTCTGGCTTTTTTTCGCTTTTTTTTATTTTTTTCCCTATAATTCTGTGTATCTTTACTGCCATATCTGGGGCTTTCAAAAGCTTACAGAAGTGATAAAAATTAGAATCCTGACCAGAAAGCACTACAAACACAGTATAGCGTTACTTTCAGGCATTATCAAAAGGCCAGTAGCTATCTGGGTTAGCTCAGGAGCTCAGTGTGTTTGGGAAGTACAATAACTGGTCTGTGACAGTTAACAGAGCATGAAGCAGATTCTGTGCATAGCTTTAAAAACTAAATGCAAAACTTTTCCTAACACCACATTTTCTCAGAATTCAGGGTATGTTTATCAAAAGGTTTGCTCTCCCTTACCAACCCTTCTGAGTCTATAATAAAGTCTGATATAACTTTGACTTTCTAGAGAGTTTTCACAGGTTTTATCTAGAGTAGAACACCTGTAAAAGTTATTTTCTGCAGAGTTGGGCTTTATTCAAAGGAATGGGTAAGTCAAAGTTTGAGTTAGCCTACACAGCAAGAAATGGATTTACATGGACATAT